TGGATTCTCTGTTCTATTTCATTGATCTATATGCCTGTTCTTGTGCTAGTATCAAGTTGTTTTGAGTACAGTGGCTTTGTAGTATAACATGATATCTGGTATTGTGATCCCTCCAGCTTTGTTCTTCTTTCTCAAGATTGCTGTGGCTATTCATTTTTGTTTTGTTTTTTTAAAAAAATATATTTTTATTGATTTCAGAGATGAAGGGGAGAAAGGGAGAGATAGAAGTATCAATGATGAGAGTAATTGATCTGCTGCCTCCTAAATGCCCCCTACTTGGGATTGGGCCCACAACTCGGGCATATGCCCTTGACCAGAATCAAACCAGGGACCCTTCAATCTGCAGGCCGACACTCTATCCACTGAACCAAACCAGCTCGGGTATTTGTGGTCTTTTTTTGATTCCATATAAATTTTTGGAGTGTTCTAGACCGGTGAAATATGCCATGGGTATTTTAATAGGGATTGTGTTGACATTTTGGGTAGTATGGACATTTTGATGATGTTGATTCTAGCAATCCATGAACATGGCATATTCTTCCACTTTATATTTTCCTCTACCTCTTTTTTTCAACGTCTTATAGTTTTCCAAGTTAAGGTCTTTTACATCCTTGGTTAAGTTTATTCCTAAGTATCTTAATTTTTTTGTTGCAATGGTAAGTGGGATTGTTCTTTTAGTTTCTCTTTATGAGAGTTCATTATTGGTGTATAAAAATGCCATCGATTTCTGGGTGTTAATTTTGCTGGCAAGGCTGTAGAGAAAAGGGAACCCTAGTACACTGCTGGTGGGAATGCAGACTTGTGCAGCCATTAAGGAAAACAGTATAGTTTCCTCAAAAAATTAAAAATGGAACTCCCATTTGACCCAGTCATCCCACCTCTAAGAATATATCCTAGGAAATCAGAAACACCCATTAGAAAGGATATATGCACTCCTATGTTCATAGCAGCACAATTTACAATAGTTAAGATCTGGAAACAGCCCAAGTGCCCATCAGTAGATGAGTGGATAAAAAAGCTGTGGTACATTTACACTGTGGAATACTATGCAGCAGTAAAAAAAAAAAGAAGGATCTCTTATCCTTTGAGATAGCATGGAGGAACCTGGAGAGTATTATGCTTAAGCGAAATAAGCCAGTCAGAGAAAAAACAAGTATCACATGATCTCACTCATATATGGAATCTAGTGAACAGAATAAACTGATGAACAAAATAGATCTGGTGACATAGAAGCATGGAACATACTGTGAAATCTCAGGGAAAGCCAAGGTTGGGTGGATGGGAAGAGATCAACCAAAGAACTTGTATGCATATAACCCATGGACACAGACAATAAGGTGGTGAAGGCCTGGAGAGTGGGGGGCGGGCTAGAAGGAGTCAATGGGGGGAAAATGGGAGACATATGTAATACTTTCAACACCAAAGATTTTTTTTAAAGAGCTGCTAAGATTTAAAAAAAAATATAAAACACTTAGTGAAGCGATCGAGAGTACTAATGTGGCTAAGAGTGTGGAAAGTGCTCACACAACAACAATCCAAGGCAATTGAATAGGCTGAAAACAGTTGTTGATTGGATCCAGCAAAAGCAGTT